CCTCCCGTTGCAGCAGAAGAAAAGTCTGATTCGTTGCTTAACCAATAAGGTTAAGAAACGTTATCCTTTGAACCCTATACAATTTGAACGGGAAAGAATGCTAAATGCTTTTTAGATAGTGGATATCCTGAGTCATTCATTCATAAAAGCATGATGTCATACCCGTCTAAGGCAGTATACAACACAGCAAACACGAAGCTTGTTTACATCCCCATCCCATTCAGAGGAGAAATGATCGTAAAACTATTGAGCAGACAAATCCATTTGTCCATCAATAACATATACTTTGCGACTGTACCCTGCATTATACTCACGTTCAAACTTGGTCTCTTTATGTAGACCAAAGATGGATTGCACCCGGAAGCTCCTGTGGAGCAAGTTATGTGGGTCGAACGGCGAGAGGTCTGTCTGATCTATTTAAGTTTGACCACGCAGCCAATGTGCTTGAGGCTTTCCATCATCTGTATACGGCTAAAAGAAGGCTATCCAAAGGGGTCATGTCCCGAATTTATGTCAACAGCCAAGTTGATTGTCATCCTTCTTCACACACACACACACACACACACACACACGCTTTTTCAATATTGTATTGTATTTTATTGTATTGTTAACAAAAATGTACACTGTTCGTCATGCAGAATGAAATAAAAACAATACAAACAAAAGGTAAACAATGTCGATGATATACGTTTCATGTACAAAGCATTTGACGTAGTTCATTTGATACCTGTTCCTTTTTGGTAAGTAGTCGGGCCAGGTTGGGTACAGGGGAGTTGTTTTAAATGGTAATGCGAGAGGGTATGTGGTGATCGTTTAACGAGTACGCACGCACCGCGGTACAGCGTCCAGGTAACCAATCAAGAAGCGGGATAACCGACCAACCCTGTGGTCTCAATTGGCATCATCTGGATTGACTGAGTGCAAGAAGGCAAGCAGATAAACCATATCCTTGTCGATTGGACATTCAAGAATCGACCAATGATTGTTTGTTGCTTGTCATATATATATTTCCATGATTTTCTGAATAGAATTAACTGTATCCTT